CTGCCCCCCCCCCAGCCCCATGCCATAGTTCCTCCAGACGCTGCGACCCTGAAGTTGGAGCCCCCGAGGACCTGTCCCCTACCCAAACCCGCCCACCCTAGTTTCACCAGACGCGGACCTCCCTTCCGCCAACCCTATACTCAAAACTCAGCTCTTTGAAGTCCGGCCTTTCCAGCTCACCATCCCCAACACCCTCCCTCCTGGGCTCCTGGAGCTCCATCGCATAGGCCCTTGTCCCGCTCTGATCTTCGAGGCTCCACCCTCGGGCCCGCCCATGTCAGGTCCTCGAGGTTTCACACCCTCGCACCCTTCCCACTTGCCTCAGCTCCTCAAGGCCGACAGAGACTTTCTGCAACTCCTGCTCGCTCACGACGGGGCCCTCCCCCGCCCGCGGCCCCATTCCCCAACCGCCTGAGGCCAGGCTGCGCGGTCGCGGGGGTTCGTTGGGGCTCCCCGGAGGGCCAGAGGAGCCAGGAGGCTGGGCGGGGGGGCCCAGGCCCTGCCGAGAGAGGCCAGCCTCCAGCTTCTGCTCCAGCTCCTGCAGCTCGGCCTCCTGCCTCCGCGGTGTCTCGTTCTGCAGCTGCTGCTGGAGATAACGCAGCTTCTCCTGGGCGGGGAAGGAAGGCGGGGTGACACCGTCCAGCCGCTTGCCTCCCACGACCACCTCCACCCGCCAATCTGCCCAATGACGCCCCGAGATTGGAAAGTAAATGGATGGGGGAGAGAAGAGTGGGAAGCCCCGTTTCGAGTCTAGATGGACTCTCCATTGCTGTTGCTGCGGAGGACTGGCCCGTCTGAAATCCCACTCGCTTTAACCTCCGAATGCTTGCCTCCACGTCCCCATCCAGCCCTCCACCCCCACTCCGGTTCTCCGTGGGGCCAAATTCCAGCCCCTCCTGTTAGAACAAGTGAAGCTTTTCCAACATGGTGCTGGGAAATGAGTAAGAAATGGGGGCCGGACAGGCATTCCTGCTCAGAGTCGGACACGAGTCCCTCTCCAAGACCTGAATGCGAGTACGCATGGAGGAGCTTGAACGTGAACGTTGAAGGGGCGGTGGCGGTGGTGATGGGGGGCGGGGGTGGCTGGGCAGGAAGCCCCGCCTGAAGTCTACTTCAAGTACCTCGTGCAGTCTGACCTCTTCCCCAACCCTCCCCCCCGCCCCTCACCTCCAGCAGGGCAGAGTTCTGCTTCAGGACGTTGGTTTTTATTTCAGCGTCTTCCACCGACTGGGTCACCTTCAGGCAGTTCTCCTGGGTCAGAACACCAGGGCAGGGGCCCTGCCTTCCCATTCCAGTTCCCGCCTCCCAACTCTTACCCTCGCTAGTTCCATGGAGGCTCCCACCCCTCCTCTGAAACACACCTGCTTCCTCCAGTCTGCCTGGTTCCCTGGGCTTCAGGGATGGCTTCCTCCGTAGACCCCCCTCCAAGGGCTAGTTTTCTCCACCCATCTCCTGTCCATGACTCCATTCCCCCTCACGTTTCTACCTTCTTCCTACTTCCACTCCCTTCTCCCCACCCTTCTCTTGCTCGGCTGTGGCTCACCTTGAGTTGACTGCAGTAGCCTTCTAGTTCCTCCGCCTCTTGCCGCCTTCTCTCTAGATTCTCGCTCAGCACAGAACACTCACTCTGGAGCCCGGAAGGGAAGAGAGGTTAGCCAGGGCCACGAGGATACCCCATGGGGAGGAGAGGCTGGGTCTGGGAAGGACCCTTTCCCTTCCCAGCCTCAACCTTCCCAAGCAGGGCTGTGGGGGCACTGAGTTGGAGGAGAGCTCTAGGAGAGGAACTTGGCCGTGGAGGAAGAGGAGGTATTGGGGGGGGGGTCCCCACACCTGCAGCGTCTGCACGTGCTGGTTAACCCTGGTGGTCTTTTCCTTCAAGCTGGTGATGGAGTCTTTGGCACGGACCAATCCACTGTTGACCCCACTCTGGGGAAGAATGGGAGAAGGCAGGTCAGTGGGTGTGTGGGAGTGAACCCCAACCCCAAGAAAAAGGTCTAGAACAGAGAGGAGGCTGGGTTTGCACCTCAATTTTGCCCTGCAATGGCTGTGTGACCTTGGGCCGGGGCTGTACCTCTTTGATTCTTGGTACTCCTGTTCCATGAAACCAGAGGGTGGGCTCATTTTCTGCTTGGTGAATGGGAAGGAAAAGAAGTGGGATCCGGAAGGGAGTGTGGGGGGGGGGGGTCAGGGGAGAACTCAGATCCATGGGAGATGGATGGTCTCAATTGAACCTTGAGAGAAATGCCCTTGGGGTCCGCAGACATAAATAAGATGAACTATTAAAACACATGCTGTATTTTTCTCTCCAGGCACTGGAAAAAAATTTTAAGATAACCCACTTTCCAGATATAAGTGCTCACTAAGCACCATGCCACACACACACACACACACACACATTTCCTTTTCAGTCCTCTAAGCCACACTTTTTGAGGCTTTTTGGCCCAATCGGCAAGTGAGGAAAATGAGGCTTAGAGATACAATCCCCCCTTGAATTCTCAGGTACACAGCGCGTGAGATGGCCTTGTCAGATTTTAAACCCAGAGCCTTTGTTTTAAACCATGACACCACATAGCCTCTGATCATCGCCACCTTATATCACCAGAAAATGCTTTAGGACTCATGCGAAGCAAACTGTGGCCCAAGAGGGATGCAGGTGGCAGGATCCACTGTCTGCTCTTCCACATTTTTAGATGACTTAGCCTGGCACATGACTGTCCAGGCAAAGACTACATTTCCCAGGCTCCCTTGCAGGTAGGTGTGGCCACACGACAAAGTTTCAGCCAATGGGATGTGAGTAGCAATAAGGTAGGCATTTTCTAAGTCATGCCTTTCTTAAAGGAAAAGAGGGAAAACATCCCCCTTTCTCTCTTCTTGCTGGCTGGAGTTCAAAGTTGGTGGCTAAAGCCAGAGCAAACATCTTGACCACCAGTTGCAGGACGCAACAAGATAGAGAAGGCTGAGTCCTCAGTACTGTGGAGCCGCTGTACTCAAATTCCAACCACTGACCATGATGTACATATGAGAGAGAACATCTTCCATCGTGTTTAGCCTGTGCTATTTTGTGTCTTTTTGTCACTGGCAGCCACACTTGCGACTCTATAGCTGAACCTCCAGAACACGGAACCTGTAACGCACTTCATTTGAAGAGTATGCCTGCTACGCTTGTTGAGATTATTATGTGAGAGAGAAATAAAGTATCTTGCCTAAGCCAGTTACTTTGGTGTCCTTCACAGTTGCTGAACTAGTACCCAAAGAGAAAAGGGAGAACAAGTTTCCTCTATCGTAAGAAAAGGACAACATCACGTTCCTTGCATGATTGCTCTGGAGAAGAGGTGTGATGAGAAATATCGTATTGAGGCACCTGGGTGACTCAGTCGGTTGTGTCTGACTCTTGATTTCCGCTTAGGTCATGGCCCCAGGGGTGTGATTTCGGCAAAGGTCATGGCCCCAGGAGCCTTCATCAGGCTCCACATTCAGCATGGAACCTGCCTAAGATTCTCTCTCTTTCTCTCTCTCCCTCTGCCCCTCTCCCCTAATCTCTCTCTCTCTCAAAATAAAAAAAATAAAAGAAAAAAGAAATATTGTATTAAGGCGACATAAGCAAAATGATGGATCCCCAAAATTCCACCCCTCCATAAAAACAATGAAAAAAACTGCCCAAACCTGTAAGAGTCAAGTCCTTGAGAAGGTGTAACCATTATAAATATATATATGCACCAAACAGAGCTTTAAAATGCATGAAAGAAGGGACGCCTGGGTGACTCAGTCGGTTAAGCGTCCGACTTCGGCTCAGGTCAGGATCTCGTGGTTCATGAGTTTGAGCCCTGCGTCGGGTTCTGCGCTTGACAGCTCAGAGCCTGAAGTCTGCCTCCGATTCTGTGTCTCCCTCTCTCTCTCTGCCCCTCCTCCGTTTGTACCCTGTCTCTCTCTCTCTCCCTCTCTCTAAATAAAACATTAAAAAGAGTTTAAAATGTGTGAAACAAAACCTGACAGAATTGAAGGGAGAAATTGACAATTCAACAACAATGGTTGGGGACTTCAGCTTCAGTATCACACTTTGAGTAACGGACAGCACAACCGGAGAGAAAATCAACAAGGAGACAGAAGACCGGAAAACCACTATAAACCAGCCAGACCTAACAGACGTCTGACAGACAGCCCTCCACCCGGCAAGAGCAGAATACACATTCTTCTCAAGTGCCCATGAGACATTCTACCTCGGGTCCGGGATGGACCCTGTATTGAGTGAGAACACAAGTCTCAATAAATGCAAAAGAACCGAATCATACAAAGTATGCTTTCTGACCTCAATGACCTCAGGAGAATGGAGAGTAGAAGTCGTTATCAGAGGGGCACTTGGCTGGTGCAGTCAGTGGAGCGTGTGACTCTGGATCTCGGGGTTTTGAGTTTGAGCCCCGCGTGGGGTGTAGAGGTTACTTTAAAGTCTGAAGAAGATGAAGAAGACAGAGACAGAGGAGCAAGAGGAGGGAGGAAGAGGAGGAGGAGGAGGAGGAGGAGGGAGGGAGGGTATGAAGAACTAGGACATCTGCATAGACCCGTAAGAAGTAAAGAGATTGTGGCTCAGTAGGTTAAGCGTCCAGCTTCCCGCTCAGGTCATGATCTCCCAGTTCACGAGTTCGAGCCCCGCATTGGGCTCTGTCGCTGACAGCTCAGACCCTGGGGCCCGCTTCGGCTCTCTGCCCCTCCCCCACTTCTCTCTCTTTCCCTCCCCCCACTTGTGCTCGGTCTCTCAAAAATAAATGTCAGAAAAAAAACTTGTAAATACAGTAAAACCTTGGTTTGCGAGCATAATTCGCGCACGGAGACCTGCTTGTAATCCAAAGTGCCCGTATATCCAAGTGAATTTCAAGAACCATTGGCTCAGTTGTGATCACGTGCCATTCGATGGCACGTACTACTCGTATTGCAAGACAGCACATTTATCAAGTATGAAATGTATTAGAAACGTTTGCTCGTCTTGTGGAACACACCCAGAACAAGCTACTCGCCATCCAAGGCTTTACTGTATGTCCATAAATTCTTTGACACTTCTCTAAATGAGGAGACTTACCTGCCTCACTTGAATGTCAGCTGGACTTAGTGACCCTCGTCGCTAGTAGAATAAGGCAGAAGTGATGGTGTGTGATTTAAGAGACTAGTTCACAAAAGGAACCTTGGCTTCCTGCTTGCCCTCGCTTGCTCTGGGGAGTCACTGCCATGTCACAAGCAGCCCCTTGTGGGGAGGCCCATGGGACAAGGAAATGAACCTCCAGCTAAGAGCCTTATGAATGTGGATGTGCAAACTCCAGTCCTGGTCAGTCCTTCGGATGGCTGCCGCCCCTACTGAAATTTTGACTCCAACCTTATGAGAAACCCTGAGCCAGAACCACCCAGCTAAGCCACTCCAGGCTGGTTGTTCTAAGTTTGGGGATAATTTGTTTCACAGCAGTAGCTAACCAATACACAAAGTGATTTAAAAAAAAATTACTTATTTTGGGGGGGGGGCGCCTGGGGGGCTCAATTGGTTAAATGTCTGACTTTGGCGCCTGGGTGGCTCAGTTGGTTAAACATCCGACTTTGTGGTGGTTCACGAGTTCGAGCCCTGCGTCGGGCTCTGTGCCGACAGCTCAGAGCCTGGGGCCTGCTTCGGATTCTGAGCCTCTCTCTCTCTCTGCCCCTCCCCACTCATACCCTCTCTCTGTCTCTCAAAAATAAATAAAACATTAAACAAATTTTTTTAATTGTTTGTTTTTTAGAGAGAGCGAGCAGGGGAGGGGCAGAGAGAGGGGGGGACTAGAGGATCTGAAGTGGGCTCTATGCTGACAGTGGAGAGCCTGATTAAGGGCTTGAACTCACAAACTGTGAGATCATGACCTGAGCCGAAGTTGGATGCTTAACCAAGTGAGCCACCTGGGCGCCCCTGATTATTTTTTTAATTTTTATTTATTTTGAGAGAGAGAGAGAGAGAGCGCTAGCTGGGGAGGGACAGAGAGAGAGCACAAGAGAGAATCCCAAGCTGGCTGTGCACTGTCAGCACAGAGCCTGATGCGGGGCTCAATCTCACGAGCCGCCATATCACAACCTGAGCTGAAATCAAGAGTTGGACGCTTAACCGACTGAACCACTCAGGTGCCCCCAAAGTGATTATTTTTAAACTGAAGACCCAGAAGGTCTTGGGTTTCCTGTAGCTGTTCTGGAAAATAAGGAAAGTAGGTCCTGGGGTCTACTCCGTTCTCCCACTTAATAGTTGTACCACCTCAAGGAGGGGACTCTTACCCTACCTGTCACATGGAGGTGAGGTTAATAGCTACCTTCCCAGGGCTGGTGGGAGGGGCACAGGCTGGCCTGTGGTCAATACTTCTTTGAGAAGGGGCCATTTGGGTCCCTGGGGGTGAGTCTTAGCTTCACTGAGAGCAGATCTGGGGGTGGTGAAGACAGGGCCTGTCGCCCTTGGCTGAGAAGCGAATGGCCTGATGGTGAGGGGAGAGCCAGAGATGGGGACAAATCCCTCCTTGGCCACCCATAGGCTGCACCTTGGCCATCAACCCCCCCCCCCCCCC